GTGGCAGCGGAGAACGTCGACCTGCAGCGGAGGGTGGCAGACTTAACCGCCGAGCTCGATGCTAGGATGGCAGAGATAATGGACTTTCCCAGCCTTCCTCATCTCGTCCTTCGCCTGGTCGGGGTATGCGTCGTAATGCGCATGAGATGTGGGTATTTGCGGAGGCCAGGCTCGATATATATAAGGAGCTTCATGCCGCGGGCTGGGCGACGGAGGAGGAGGTTCGGGCACGACGAGACGAGGCTCGTGCTGCACGTGAGGCTTGCGGTTATTACCCTGACTCTCCTGATGGGGAGGGGCCTGCTTCTGAAGACGTCAACCGGCTCGACTCCAGCTCCTGGTATAATGACGTTTACTTCCCCGGGGGTGATGGGCAGTCGTGAACTTGTATAGTGTATTTTTTTCGATTGTATAGTGTGTTGGAGCTTGTCCATGGGGACGGATGTAAATATATTTTTGTTGAAATATAGATTTTATTTTTATTGCTTCGTCCATTTGGTGTTTTCCCCTTTATTTCTTTTGTAATGTAATGTTTAACCTCCGTAGAGATTGTTCTTATCGTTCGTCGGAGGGTCGTGCTGTGACTGTCGTCGAAGCAGTATCCGTCGAAGTTCGAACGAGGTCGAACCGATGTCGATGGCCTTGGCCATTAAGATGTTGCTTCGACTGTCGTCGAAGCGGTATCTGCCGAAGTTCGAATCGAGGTCGAACCGATGTCGATGGCCTTGGCCATTATGTTGCTTCGACTGTCGTCGAAGCGTTATCCGTCGAAGTTCGAACGAGGTCGAACCGATGTCGATGGCCTTGGCCATTATGTTAATTCGATTGTCGTTGAAGCGTTATCCGTCGAAGTTCGAACGANTTAGGATTTGGTTATAGCCAGAGTAGGCGTCCAAGAAACTTAGCAGTTCGTGCCATGCTGTCGCATCGATCAGCTGGTCGATATGGGGCAACGGGAAGGAGTCCTTCGGGCATGCCTTGTTCAGGTCGGTGAAGTCTACGCACATTCTCCATTTCCCGTTTTTCTTTTTAACCATGACCACGTTGGCGACCCATTGGGGGTATTTTGATTCTCTGATGGAACCGTTGGCTAGTAGTTTATCTACCTCTTCACTGACTGCCTCGTTGATTGCGGCGTTGAATTTCCTTCTTATCTGCCTTATGGGCGGGTAAAGTGGGTCGACGTTCAGCTTGTGAGTGGTTATGTCTTTTGGGATCCCTGGCATATCTGAATGAGAGAAGGCAAATAAATCTGCATGGTTAGTTAAGAATTCGTGGTACTTACCTGGGTCGGAGAGGTTGTGCCCGATGTAGGCTTTCTTTGAGCTGTCGGTACCGTCTAGTTGGACCGGGTCGAGGTTCTCGACTGTCGCTTTGCATGCTTCTATGACATCTGGGTCCCTGATGGCCTCTGTCGTCGGGTTGATTTTGGTTCCCGACATGGCTGATTGCTATGCTTCCGCGCTTGCTCCTTTCAGCTGTTTTGTATGTGTGCAGTCTTGGGCGATTCGGTAACATTTCTGGGCGGTACGTGGCTCACCTCGAATGCTGAATATTCCCCATGGGGTGGGAAATTTGATTACTTGATAGAGGCTCGAAGGATGGCTCGCATGGCGTGTATCCGTGGACGTCCTATGATGATGTTGTAGGTCGTTTCCTGGTTCATGATGTGGAATGTGGTTTCCAGTGTGACTCACCCCACCAGGACGGGCAGTGATATCTCTCCGGAGGTTCTTTCTACTGCATTGTTAAAACCCGTTAGCGTTATGCAACGCGGTATTATCTTATCTTCGAGCCTCATTTGCATGAGGACTCTTGGGTGGATAATACACGCGCCGCTTCCGTCGTCTACCATGATTCTTTTCACATCGGTATCAGCAATGCGTAAAGTTATAACTAAAGCATCATAATGAGGGAAAGACAAACCGTCGGCATCAGACTTATCGAAGGTGATACCATCTTCGAAGTCATCATACCGTTCGTGAGCGATCGTGCGTTTCAACTTGTGTGTGGTAGTGAACTTTACATGGTTGATTGCCGAGTCGTCGCTGCCGCCGACGATCATCTGTATGGTGCGTGCTGGAGAAGGTGGTTTCGGTGGTCCTTGGGATTGATCGCGTCCTCTGGCGAAATTAGTCCTTCCTTTATCGCTGAGTAGCTCCTTCAGGTATCCTTGGTTCAGCATTCTGACCACCTCCTGCCGTAGGCCTATGCAATCTTCGGTTTTGTGTCCTCTTTCCTGATGGAATTCGCATAGGACGTTCGACCTTCTTGCACTGGGGTCTGACTTCATTTTTTGTGGCCACTGCACCTTCGTGCCCAGCTTTTCCAGTGCGTACACTATTTCTGAAGGGGAGACACAAAAGTTATGAGCGGATAATAATGGGGGCATACCTCTTTCATTTCGAAGCGGGGCGACAACATGTCGCTGTACGGCATCTGGGTGTCTTGGAGGAGGCGGGTTAGGAGTTCTGACGTAAGGCTGGTGCCTTTCTCTGTTGAAGCGTCGAAGTGGTTCCTGTCGCCCGTCGTTGCGTCGGTCCCTCCTTACTTCTGATTGTACGGACATCGGTCGTTGGGTCGGGCCGTTAAGGTCGTCTTCATCCGCTATGACTTCGGCGCAATAGGCATTGTGGATCTCTTCCCACGTGGTGGGGGGATATTTCATGAGCCAATTGAGCAGCTTTTTGGTTGCTTTGGATCCGTCTCTGTTCAGCCCGTTTTGGAAAGCTGCCACCGCCACTCCCTCCAATACGTTTGGCAGTCCCATTCTTACCCTGTTGAATCGTGCCAGGAAGTCCCTGAGTCCCTCGCCCGCTGTTTGCCTGATGGCGAAGATGTCGTTGACCCTGGCTTCGGCTTTCTTTGCTCCTGCGTGGGCGGTGGCGAACTTGTCCGCCATCTCTTCGAACGTTGATATCGATCTGGCCGGCAACTGAGAGTACCATGTGAGTGCTCCTCCTGTTAGAGTCTCCCCAAACTTTTTCAGCAACACAGATGGCACATGTTCTTTCGATAGGCCATTTCCTTTTACGGCGGTCACGTAATGAATCAGGTGATCTTCTGGATCTGTGGTCCCGTCATATATTTTCAAGTATGGTGGCATCTTGAAGGTTTTGGGGATTGGGTGAGGAGCAGCTCCCTCATTATATGGTTGCTCGACGAATCTCCCCATATCGCGTTTTGGCAGTAGCTTAGGGGCGCCAGGTATCTTGTCTACCCTCTCCTGGTGCTCCTTCATTTGATCACGAAGTGCTTTATTCTCGTTCTCCATCTCCTCCATTTTCTTAAGGATGGCTGTGAGCGCATCGTTGCTTGTATTGGAGTCAGTGTGGGCGTTACCTATTCGTGCAACGCTGGGCTCTCCGATGGTGGTGGTGATTTTTGCCACCGATGGATCTGTGATATTTCCTTGAGGTGGTTTCTCGAGTATGCTACTTAGAGTGTTCGTCAACCATTCCTCCAGTAGCTTTTTGACTACTGGGGGCGTTTCCTTTGCTGCAGATGTAGAAGTTCCTCTTTCATGCAAAATCGTTAGATCTTCAAGTGAGGAGGGCGAGATCTCCCCCTCCGGTATGTTACTTGGTGTTATCGCGGTATTTTCTCTGCCTGCTTTGTTGAGTGGGCCTATGAGGTTGGTTGAGACGTCTGCTATCATCTTCAACCTTGACTCTTTGTCTGCCATTTGTTAGTTTCTATGAGATCTGAAGAACAGCGATGGTTGTTTCCGGTATCCTAGATGTAAACTATGGTTTCTACTACCGAAATCGCCACAGACGGCGCCAAATTGTTTGACCCAAAAGCGGTTTAATACTTTTTAAGCAAATCAATCAATATAGATGAAGGGGTAAATCGTAGTGGAAGATAATAAACTCTAGGATGATCTTGAATATAGAATCAGATAACAATGAGATAAACAAAGTTGACGAGAGAAAATGATAAACTTCTATTAGATAAGAGAGACAATGTTAGAGAGAGAGAGAGAAGAGAGAGATTGTATTTTTCCTCCCCCCTTTTACAAAGCTTAGATCCTCTTTATATAATAGAGGATCCTTACTCGAATACAAAAAGGCAAAGAATAAAGTACATATTGTAGAGCGGTCGGCGTGGTCGTGGAGTCGTCCCTCTTGTTGCTCATAAGTCGCTCTTCTAACCGGGCTCACGCACACTTGGTCGGTCGTGCTGTCTTGAAGAACGTAGTTGGTCAAATTCGACCCTACGCAGTGTTAATTTTAACATTTTATAGAAGATCCACAATGTTGAATTTTTGTTCCTGATTTAATATTATTTACGGAATAAATATTTACTAATCAAGATTGAGTGATCAATGTTGATGAACAATAATGACATGTGACCTATACTTAAAACTTTTGATCTTTTAGTAAATGCGCATAAATTTTTCTAGAAGTTTATAAGTTATTGAGAAAATGTATCGATCCTATTATATTACTTTCGAATTGACAAATCTGCTGAGAGAATTATATGGTTTTCACAAAAAAAAGAAGCTTAAAAATTGATCTACTATCATTGAAGAGATTAAGACATAAATTATAGATAAAAATCTTGAGTTAGGATTGAAATGCATTGTTTTAATTACTAGAGCAATGAGCTAAAACCAAACAGCACATGAACTTTGATTATATATCTTGAATCTTTGATTTTCTTGTTCTTTTTTCAACTTTAGGCTAGCTTGTGTGCACCGCGATCCACTGAATAAGTGCTAGTGTCCACTAGAACAAACACCATCAAGATTTAGGCAGATCTGAAAAATCACCTAATTTTTTTTGTTTTTACGAAAATTTTCGCATACTCACGACCAAACTATATCTTAGGTGCATCTTGAGTCCTTGATATACTTGGACTACTTTGCCTGTTTTTGAGGTAAAATCAATTATTGATGCCATATGTGGAGTCCAAACCAATTCTATGCACACAAGTGTTTTGTGGAAATAATGGATATTTAATCATATGTGAAATTTCTACCAATTTACTCCAACAATTAGTGCAGATATTGATGGTAAGGGCTGCTAAATTTAAGGCAGTCCGGTGCACTAAGCTTCCTCTATGCGTGAGGTCCGGAAAATGACCGCATTACAAGGATCTATTGTACGCAGTCTTATCCTGTATTTTTGCAGGATCTATTTGTACGCAACACGACTCGAACCAGCGACCTAGTGATCACATGACAACAACTTTACCGGCGGCTAAGAAAATTCAAATTAATAGTCATAAGTCATTCTCATCAAGGAATTGAAGGGGTTGCAGACTTTTCAAACATAGGGAAAATAAGTCCAAGGATTTATCTCTTAGGTGTAGGTTCTAGAGCTTATGATTCAATTTGTTTGTTTTTCTTTTTTTTCCATGGACTGATCTGACTTGACTGTAGAAGTTTTCTATATAATGATAAGCTTTTACTAGTTTATTATAGCCATAGCTCAATTCTTGTTTTTCTTTCCAATGGCTAACACAAAAGCACATTTAATTGTCACACTGCTTCTCCTTGGTGTACTTACATTGGCAACCCTGGATTTCACAGGTATCCCTCTCTCTGCTTAGACATACAATATTAGTACAGGAAACTACAATTTTCTGCTTATAGGATAATCGCTATTGTTTTTCCAATTGCCCTTGAAGGCTATGTTATAGAGATAATTTTATCGTATGGTCATTGAACTTTACACGCACATATGAGACAGTGATGTGTTATAATCTGACGTCAGTGTCTTGACTTTTCTCAGTTACTTTGATGCGTAAAAAGAAACTAGTTTTGTGACCTTATTATAGTGGATAAAGTTGAGTGTCCACATGAAATATCTACTATGTTACATGGAATCAAGCATGAGTATTGGATACATGTAGGTACTAGACTCGGGTCTGAACGAAGTACCCGTATTCACGTCCTCCCTAACTAACACCTACGTTGCTCGGACGCTCTGTCGCCGAGTGCGTGTCAGAATCTCCAAAAACAGTATATTTTTGGAGAATCCGACACAGGTGCGGCAGTATTTTGGAGAGTCCGTGCAACATAGACTAACACAGGCGTAATGAGGACGATGAAGGATCCGAGTAACATAGCTTAAGGGTGCTAATGGATTGTAATAAGCAATTAAAGGCAACCTAACATGAGCTTATAGGCAGAAATGCCATGTTTAATGGTGATGCAGGTGCTCAAACAGGAGTTTGTTATGGAAGGCAAGGGAATGGATTACCATCTCCAGCAGATGTTGTGTCACTATACAACCGAAACAACATTCGTAGGATGAGAATATACGATCCTCACCAGCCAACTCTCGAAGCGCTTAGAGGCTCCAACATTGAACTCATGCTAGGTGTCCCGAATCCCGACCTTGAGAATGTTGCTGCTAGCCAAGACAATGCAAATACTTGGGTCCAAAACAATGTTAGGAACTATGGTAATGTTAAGTTCAGGAATATAGCAGTTGGAAATGAAGTTAGTTCCTTAAATGAAAACTCTAAGTATGTACCTGTCCTTCTCAACGCCATGCGAAACATTCAAACTGCAATATCTGGTGCTGGTCTTGGAAACCAGATCAAAGTCTCCACAGCTATTGAAACTGGACTTACTACAGACACTTCTCCTCCATCAAATGGAAGATTCAGAGATGATGTTCGACGATTTATAGAGCCCATCATCAACTTCCTAGTGACCAATCGCGCCCCTTTGCTTGTCAACCTTTATCCTTACTTTGCAATAGCAAACAATGCAGATATCAAGCTTGAGTATGCACTTTTTTCATCCTCTGAAGTTGTTGTAAATGATAACGGAAGAGGATACCGAAACCTTTTTGATGCCATCTTAGATGCCACCTACTCGGCCCTTGAAAAGGCTAGTGGCTCGTCTTTGGAGATCGTTGTATCAGAAAGTGGTTGGCCTTCAGCTGGAGCAGGGCAATTAACATCCATTGACAATGCCAGGTTTATAACAACAACTTGATTCGGCATGTTAAGGGAGGGAGTCCGAAAAGGCCTTCCGGACCAATAGAGACCTACGTTTTCGCTCTGTTTGATGAAGATCAGAAAGACCCTGAAATTGAGAAGCATTTTGGACTATTTTCAGCAAACATGCAACCAAAGTACCAGATCAGTTTTAACTAGTTAAAAGCAAGAGGAGCATTAATAGGAATAAGGACTTTCCTTTGTATGAAGAGAAAGTAGTCCATTGGCACTATGTACTGAAACTATCATGCTCATAAAGAAAGCAGTTGCTACAATAATGAAACACCTTTCTTTTCACTGTTGATTTTATCTGTTGAAACCCTGTGTATCACTTGTTTTGCATTTGAAGGCTCAAGTTCCACTTCTATAATTTCAACAAGAATCGTTTCAACCAGGAAGGGAAAAATAAACTAGCTTGTATGATTATTTCTCGGAAGGGGAGCCTTGACGTAACTGGTAAAATTGATGTCATGTGATCAAGAGGTTACGAGTTCGAGCCGTGGAAATAGCCTCTTGCAGAAATGCAGGGTAAGATTGTGTACAATAGACCCTTGTGGGGCCCTTCCCCGGAACCCGCGCATAGCGGGAGCTGCACCGGGCTGCCCTTTTTTTGGTATGATTATTCTTCAAAGAAAGTTATGTTGCATACAGGAAATACCTTAGCTTAAATGACGAATCAAGAAAAAGAAAGGCGTGGAAATGTAGCAGGTACTGAAGGAAATCTATATGCAAAATTAAAAGTAAAAATGCTTACAGGAGAAAACCATCAAACAAAACCAACCATCACTGCCTCAAACAAACTCAGACTCTCTGAAGCACACAAAATTTGGCAAAAACAAACCAGAAAGTAGAGATTTTTCAACTATTTACATATATATGTGAAGTCTGTAAAAGTATAAAGCAGAAAATAAAAAAGGCGAAAACTTCTTTTCCTCAATCAATTTGGATAAATTACTCAAGCAGCTCCATATCCAAATTATAGTTTCTTCTTGATTATTTGTTATCGAGTTCTATAACTGATGAACGGTTGAAGTTTCTGTCTTGCCCTGCTGGAACTAAGCTTTTCAACCTCGACAAAACCCTTTCACATTTATAGCTGTCTGCTGAGAGATTTCACTCTTTGTGGCACTGCTGTTCGCTTCACCATTAAATGTGATCCAAGAAGTATGCTTGAGCATGTGAGGAGAATGTTGACCTGAATACGTTTCGTGTAACTTTAGCCGTTGCTTCGGTGTGCTCATTGATCTTGTCTTTGCTTTTGCAGATTCTGTAGCAGCCATGTAAGTAGGAAACATAGGAGAACTTGGTAAAGAGCTATCATCACCAATTGATTTCTGTTTCACATGAGAAAATGATCTCCTTGGTAGCGATGATGGTGAGCTTAAAGCCTCTATGAAATCTTGTTTGCGCACTTCTGTCATTTTGAGTAGTGTAATTTGGTTCATGTCAACTAGAGGACTACTTGAGTCTGCAAATGACCTCAATTGTTCAAATACTTCTGCTTTTCTCTTTGCTTCGAGTTCAGTACACTGATCGAACCTGCTGCTCCTACGATTTTCCTTATTGAATAATGGTTCGTGCAGAACATGATCATTTCTCCGCTCCTAAAAACCATTTTAAATTATTCAACCATTAAACATCATGTATTTAGTACATATCATAAAACGGAAACTGAAAAAAATCTAAATGCTAGTGAAGTTACCCGATGTGAAAACGAGTATTTCATCATACGCTCTCTTTTGGAAATGGCTTCTTGTCTTCTTAAACACAAGGCTTCAATGTCTTCCTTTGAGGCCAAACTGAAATCCCAAGTCCTTTGGCTGTTGCATTTTAACTGCCAATTGGCAAAGCCATGTTAGACATACTTTATCATTAGAGTAAAAATACTTTATGTAACTAATTTTCTTACTTTTAATTCATTAGAATTCACACTTCCCTTCGGACTACCATCAAGTTTCTTTTCGATACTCTCATAGTATTCTTCAACAGTAGGAACTCTGATATGATAAACTCGCGGCTTTGACATTTGAAAGGGCAGCATGCATTTCAACTTGGCAACGAGTCTTCGTCTCACAAGTTCGCCTCGGATCACTGCTTGAAGCTTCACGAGTCCCTTCATTGCACTTAATGCTTTCTTTGCCTACAGAAAATCCCACAGAACCACAGTTTGGATATAAGTCCGTTTCAGCAAAGAAGATGAAAATGTTATAACAATCAGAGGAAAATTACAAGAGTGATGTCTATATGCACATGCTCAAATTGCAGTATCCTTTGATATCTACACTGCTCTTAATTTTCTTTTTCCCTGTTGTTCACCAGTGATTTACATGAAAAAGTTATCTTTGAATCTTTTCCAAATACTTTACTTCTTATCATATTCAGTAAATGGTGTGTGTATTAATATTTTGGAAACTAAAGCAATGGCTGCAATTTCATTCTTGATAATCCCTTTAAGATTCATGATGATTTTACTCACTAAAAATAAGCTTAATGCAATCAAATACACATCATATATCTACAACAAGCCAACCAGATCACAAAGAAATTGTTTGTGTTCAATTCTGTAACCATCTCGATCATATCTTCAACACACGCGATCGTGATTGTTTTTCATGAAAGAAATTGTTTGTGTTGAATTCTGTAACCATCTCGATTATATCTTCAACACACCCCTTACGCGCGGTCGTGATTGTTTTTCATGGGCCAAGCACGTGATAATTCTTTTTGATATTTGGTGAAGGTGATCATGTCATCCAAAAGTTTAAACTGTTTGAGGAACCACATGAATAAATGAACTGACTATTCATTTCGATAAATTAAGGGGAATCAAGGGAGGATGCTCACAAGGTGTGCGCGATAAGCGCTTTGGATTCTGATGGCAGCATTTTTTCGTTTCCTTTCGAGCTCATACGGAGCGTTAGTAAGGCGGACAACTTCAGCTGCAGCATTGGCAGCAGCTACAGCAGCCTCAGCTGCAGCTGCTGTTGCTAGAGCAACAGCCAAAGCATGTTTCCTCTGCTGTTCTGTTGCCTCAGTTATTAGTGTTCTCTGAGGTGCTTCAATTGTTGGAGGACAATGCTGGTATTTTAACCTTCTCAAAAACCATTTCCATCTCTTTAATTTCTGAGGAAAAAAATAACAAAAATTCCAAATTCATGTTATAAATCACACAAACCAATTCTCAACAAGAAAAAGGGAAAATCAAGAAATTGGAAAAAATCAAACCTTTTCAGCTTTTGGTTTTGCCTCAGGAATGAAAAGTAGTCTTTTCACAAATGTAAACCAGCTTCTTCTCTTTCCCATTTTAGAAATTCATTTAGACTGCAGCAAACTGTATCATCAAAACAACATCTCACCATCTTCTTTAAACAGTCACCTTATTCTGGATAACAGTATAGATAATCTCTTTGAGTTGGCAGTTCTATTTCTTTCAATAAAAACAAAAAGTTTCAAGAATTTACATTGGAAAAAGAGAAAAAAAACAAGAAGAATGAACAAAGCCATGCTCAACTTCTCACATCAGCAATATTGTTCAGTTTCCATAAAAGCCATAACTAAGAAATAAGAAAAAATACAAGCCTGGTGCACTAAGCTCCACGGCTCGAAACCTGAGCTCCTAGCACACATGAAAACAAGTTTACCATGACAACAACTTTATCAGTTACGCCAAAGCAAATTTTACTTCTCTTGCTTAATTAGTAGGAGTAATAAGACATTCTTGTGATGGCAGCTAAAGTGGAACCATTCATGATTCTAAGGAACCTGAATTCTTGGAGTTTAAGGTGTACCAAATTAAAAAATTCATCATTTTCCATTAAAAGAAGGTAATTATGATGAATTTTTCCATATGATTTAATACAAAATTTAAGACACATACCTAGAATAGGTGAAAGAAAGGTGACATGCAAGATTTAGAAAAATCCAAGAAATCTTGGGAAGTGATTCTTGAATGATACTGTTGATGTTTCTATTGTTCCATGTGGCTTCTTATATATATCCAAGAACAAACTGTCCTTTACTAATTATGTTTTGAGAAGCATACCATGTGCTGATGGAGAATAAAATGAAGATTGAAAAAAACTTAAACAATTGATTTTTCAATTATGTAGACTTTTGCAAGTACTTAAATGGTGATGACTTGTGGGAACTTTCTTTAATATCATATCAAGGGTCCCCCCACAAACCCAACCAACCCTACTACACTACCTTTTCCAAACCTCACTTGTCGAATTTCACCGGACTGCAGTCGTTGTCGTTGTATGAAAAAAAAATTTGGGTTAGATTATCCATGAAGGTGAGTCTTGGCATAACTGGTAAAATTGTTATCATGTGACGAGAAGGTCACAGATTTGAGCCGCGAAAACAACCTCTTGGAAAAATACAGGGTAAGGCTACATACTATAGACTCTAGTGGTTCGGCTTTCTCGTAGTCCGCGGAAGCTTAGTGCACCGGGCTGCCCTTTTTTTATTATCCATGTGAATATCTGTCTTTTTTTTTACTCATAAAGTTGTCCAAATAATTTTTATACCTAAGCAACTTGTTTTTTTCTTTTTCTTTTTTAGGCCCCTTATAAAAGATGTCCTTAATGGGGACTATTTCTTTTGACTCACTACTCCATCATGGCCTTGAAGAGGACTTTGAGAGGGAGCATAAAATAGCCTTTGTCTTTTGAGCTGTTCAATGGACCCAATTTTGGTAATCAGAGATAATTATTACCTTTATTTTGTAATAATAGAAAATGAGAGATAATAAAAAAAAATGAAAGTTAATTCAAATCATTCTTTGCAGACGCATAATTAAATTTATTTTTTATTAAAATCACTAAGTTAAAACTTATTGGGAGAGGGACATATTTTTGAAATCTAAAGCTTAAGAACTGAGTATAGAAATGTGAAAATAATCGTGGCAATTTGAGTTTCTGATAACTTATGTCAGTAAAGTCAAGTATCAACAACTTAAAAAGAAAAGTATCGTAAAAGTTTCAATTTCGAAAAGAAAAGAAAAACTAAATTTTAGTGAGCTATAGATGATGCAAGAAAGTGACAATTGCCAAAGCATTAAGTCATTTTCCAATTTTTTTGAATGCACATTCTGCTTCATTTATTGTAACTTGAATTGAAATAAATAATTTCTTGATGCATGTTTCTCATAGGGGAAAAAATGATCACACATAATTGCAGAACCCCTTTTAATTGGACAATTTTTAATGCATCCTTTTGTAACACAAGAAACACCATTGTCAGAATTTAGCGTCACACTGTCACTATAGGATCATTATATTCTGATAGATAGATGTTCCTTCTATATGCTCATTTACAATTTTATTTACATTGAAAATGGTAACTACAATTATATTTGATTTTGTGGTTCTAAAAATATGTGATTTATTTTAATACTAGTCGTTAAGCAATAGATGCTAGGTGTGAGTAAAGAGAATAAGATATGCAAACCAATGGGGTCACAAAGCTGGGCCTCGAGCTGGCTGAAGCAGGACCTCGAGATCTAGACGGAGCTAATAACAGTGAACTATTGATAGAGAATCAATGGTAATAAAGGCCTTGAAGATGGCCTTTTATGATCAATAATGAGCAATAAATGAACAATGAATGAACAATGTAAGAATAAGCAATGAATGTGAAGAACTGTAGTTTTAGCAAAGAGAGCAGAGAATGTTGTATGTTATTCAATATCCAGGTCCCTTACAAAATAACAAAGGTCCCCCTTATATAGGAGAGACGAATCCCAACATAGTACATGTCTAATAAATAAAGAATAAATACCACTAGTACAGCTGTGCAACGGTTCAGTATGGATTTGTACCATTTTTGCAGACTCTGTCAGTCCTCATCACGTGCTCTCGGGAACCTCCTGCCTCTTTATGACAGTCATCGATTTTCATGCTGCCTCGGGGTATGTCACGATGAGTCTTCGATGTGCCCTACCGAGGCGAGTGCTTCGAGGACGAGCCTTGAACTGTGCTTCGAATCCTACCGAGGTCGGGCTCGAAAACGCCATCGAAGCCTTAAAATCGGCTTTCCCTGATTTTAACCGTATACAGATAGTCCCCGCGTTCCTTGGAATGAAATATCAAGGAACGATTTGAATTCTTCAACTCTTTAATGCATCCACCATTATGCCAGTTATGTCATGCGAGCAGTTGATGTGACAAAAAAGGGATGTTTAAAAGTCACGTTCGCACGGCTCTCAAAAAAGCCCCGAATTGATTACGACGGTTGGCCGTCCTTGGGCTTTCCCCAATGTGCATTACTGGCCCCTATAAATACCCCAATCCTTCACTCCTTTCTCTGCATCACATCTTCGAACCTTAAAAAGCTCTCCTTACTTCTTTCCTGTGCTTGTTTCTTGCCCAGTTTATCTCATTTCCTCTGAAATCTTTTAGTAGAAATGGCGAAGACCTCTAGAACCGTTCCCCAAGGTGATAAAGCTTCTTCGTCTTCATGCTCGTCCAAGGGCAAGGCCACAGCGCCTCCTAGTCTTGAGGAATGCATCCCCGGACCCTGTGAGACATCCTCAGATTTTACGGTTGACAAGCCTTCTTCGAAACCCTGGGCGGTGCGAACCCATGTCCCGATACATCAGCCTGATAACCGACACTAAGACGGTGAAAACCGACTGCTGTTGGGGAGAGGCGGTGCAAGTGGAGGTAGCTTCCCGGGTGGAAGACATAACAACAGACAAACCCAGTTTCCTCAGCGTATACACATATCCCTTTACCCTGGGTCCGATAGGACCATCCTCGCCATCGATAGACCCGGTAATCCTCGACTTCTGCGGACAGTATCGGGTGACGCACGGCCAGATTCATCCATCATTCTACCGCGTTGTTTATATGATTAGGCACTTTGCAAACATGGTCGAGGGGTTACCTTTTACCCTAGACCATCTGATCAGGATGTACAACCCCCGTCTTTATCGAGGTGGTCTTGATTAAGCTTCAACGCCGGGCCCCGAAGGCTTTCTTTGCCTGTACCGACGAAGGCAAGGACAGAGGGTGGATGAGCCGCTTTGTCCGAGTCAGGACCTCGGATCTAATTCCTGCTGAAAGGATGCCATTCCCCGAGGAATGGAATATGAACTGTAAATGAATATATCGACTAAATATTTTTCTTTCCTTCGGACCATTCTCCCTTTTGAACTAACTTCCCTCGATGGTGCAGCTGCTGAGTGGTACCCTGGTGCAGTTAAGGATCTTTCGGGCTGGGTTCGCCAGCTTGATTTGACTTGTCCGTATGCTAAGCGCGTGTGGCGCGATCTGGCCAAGGCCCGATGGGAAGCTAAAAACCATGGTAAGGTTTTTCTTCTGCTGTACTTGAGCTCGTTACAGGAGGTATTCTTTAGCCGTATTCTCAATTTTCGTACCCGCCCTTTGTGTTTCTGCAGGCCTGGGAGATGCCTCTTTGATGAGGGAAAACTCCTCCGGGGAGGCAAGTACCTCAAATCTTGCCAAGGAGAAGAAGAGGAAAAGAAAATCGCTGACTAAATCCTTGAAATCGAAGAAGGCGAAAACACCAAAGCCTAAGGTCGATTCAGCGGCCCTAACTTTGGAAGCAACGAAGAGTCCCCGAGCTGGGGGCGAAGAGGAGGATGACTCCCTGCATGCGCCCGGGGGAAAAGGAAGTGTGCCTGCCTCGGGTCTCGCTGGGCTGATGGCTATTAAGCCGAATGTTTCCAAACCAGCAGTTGCTGATATTGTCCTACCTCGAGCCGAAGAGGCTCTCGAGGATGGATCAGATAATGCCCCTGAGCCGGTCGGTAACCAAGACATTCCCCGAGCCGAGGGGCTTTTGGCAAATGAGTTAAGGGATCCCAGCTCTGAGGCTCCCCAAAGGCAAGAGAAGGCCCCGATCGATCCAACCGGAGTTATTGACGTAGGTGGTTCTCTGTCGGGTCCGGCATTATCTCCGAGGGAGATACGGGATGTACACAATAGAAAGACTTCCGATGCCGGGGCATCCCATGGGGAGAATGACTTGTTTGAAGGATTCTTTACTGGGGTCGAAGAAAATCCCGAACTTAACGCGTCGCTCATCCTCGAGGAAATCGAGAGGCTATGCAAATAGGTGATCCGTCGTCGACTGCGCTTCGAGCTTCAATCCTCATCGTTATTGATTTTGTTCTTTCATGTTTTCAGGCTGTAGAGCTTTACGATCGGTCTGTTGCTAAGTCCCAAGCTGAGTCAACCCGCTATGAGGAAGAGTGTAAGAGGCTTTCGTCTGAGGTTGGCGAGCTCAGAGCCCTTTTAACTAAAAGGGAGGAAGATCTTCATGACCTTCGGACTCATTTGGAGGTGATGTCTCGAGAGCGGACTGACCTTGCTGAGCAGGTAATATAGTCTTCGTATGTTTTCATTTTTGTGTGTATCCAACCTCGGCACTTAATGCCTTTGGGTTGATCTTTGCAGCTTGAGAAGAAAGATGTCCTGATGAGGGAGGGACTTGGAGTCAGGGATATTGAGATTCTCGAACTCAAGCAGCGTGTGGACGAGATAGCCTCCGAAAGAGATGCCTTTCAGGGGAAGTTGATCTCCGCTGAGCGTCATCTTCAAGATGCGAGGGCGGATAGTAGTAAGTATAAGGATCTTTATGTTGAATTGGTCGACGCGCTATCTGTATCCAAGTCTGAAGTTGATGAGCTCATGTCTTCGTATAGAAAAGATGTTGCTACTGCAAATGCTCGGGCCAGGAAGGTGTCTGAAGAGGCCGAGCTCGGACGGACACGAACCCTAGAGCATGCCCGATTGAAATCTCGGAGACAGGCTCTCGAGGATGTGTACGCAGGGGGCATCGATTTGTCAACTGAGATAGAGAGGGTGAAGGCCCTAGAGGAAGAATCAGCAGCTCTGCTTTCTTCCGATGATGATTCAGCCAGTGATTTGACCAGCGGCTCGGAGGATGATGAAGGCGAAGGTGAAGTCCCCGAGGGGGAGGAGGCCGTCGATGTTCCGGGATTCGAGGGCCAAATCGCTGAAGGCACAACTTCTGAGGGAGCTTCTTCCGGTCAAGTGACCCCGGCGATAGATTAGGTTTTTATCTGCTCCTTTTTTGTGTAAGGGCTTTAGGAATGAGCCTTG